CTCAGTCCTGACCAGAATTGATAGCTGTGCTCAGAAGGCACCGTCAAAGGCCCCTGAGGCTGGCAGTGTCCTGCCTGCAGCACAGAGCAGGACCTGGAAGATCTTCTCTCCCTGGAACTGGATTGCCTAAAAGAGCGACTCACCATCTGGTGACTGTCAGAACACAGTTCTCAAGAAGATTTCTTTCTAATATTTTGCTTCAGAAAATATCCACCAGTCAGGATTATTTACCTCATGGTTTAGAAACAGGAACCAGAGATGAACTAATAAGTGCTCTATTCTAGCCCAGGTAGCAGACCCCAGACATTCAGTAACAGCCACAGAGCTGATGCACTCTGGGGGAAAATGCATCACCTGCCTGATGGCAGGGCCCTTGTGGAACCTGCAGCTCTTAGGCAGGAAATGGAAAAGGATGAAATGCATTCTTTTCCAATTCTTTAGACACCCATTTCTCAAGCTATGTTTTGAAGTACAGCAATTCAGGGTGGACATTTGGGATTTGCTGCAGGCCAATTCCTTCGTGTTGGGTCTCAGTTTTCTCTTGCACACCTTGCCTGGCAGAGGGCTGGTGGCTGCTGCGCTGTTGTTGGAAGGGTCGATGCCCCCAGGTGTTTGTGAACGCTGCAGGCAGCAGAGATCTCCTGTCTGGGCTGGCTTTCCCTGCCAGGGCCTAAAGCGCTGCTTCTTTCTTCTCTGCTGTTTTGTCTGCAGGGCTTTCGGAGCCGTTTCTAAAGGACTCGACAGGGCCACTGGAGGAGAGGTCAGTGCCAACACGCCCAGCACGGCTGGCAGCTCTGCAGGGCTTTCCCCTCTGCTGGCAGCTGTGCCTGGAGCTTTGGGGGCCAGCAGAGCTCTCCTGCACAGGCTGCTCCTCTGAAGGCAGAGCAGTGTCAGCCTGCAGAGCACAGCTGGGACACACTTGCTCCTTCTGGAGCGCCCAAAGGAATGCAAGGAGGGCAGCGCTGTCTGTCAGAGCAGGACACGCTGGCCTGGTCTTCATATCTGAAAGTGGGAATGCATCAGCTGCTGGACACTGAGGCCCAATTTATCTTCACCCCAGCCTCAGACAGGAACACTCTTCATCTATTATTAGTTAAACTGTCACACTCTTATTTCCATCCTGCCGTTCATCTTTAAAGGGAACCTCAAGGCCTAATTAGGGAGAGACCCTGCTTGGGCTCAGTTTGGGGTTTTGGTCCTACTTCAGCTGTTCACAGAGGGAGAGGGAGAGAAATGAGAAGATGGATGTCCAGAGCCAAGCTCTCTCCTAAAGCCTGCAGTTGTGTTTGGCTCTGGTGTCAGTGACAGCCTGTGCCAGGGATCACCTGAGCAATGGATGTGCCTGTTTGCTTTGTTGTGCAATCCCAAACAGAGCAGCTGCATCTGGAATCATGACCAAATCCCATAGAATTGCTGAGGGGTTCCTGGCTGTTTTCCTCTGTTTCCACAAAACCAAAATTGCTTCCTGGTTGCAAAACGAGTTTGAATAATAATAGGAGAGTTGAGGCCATTTGAGAAGACTGTAGGTGCAGAGAATGTTGTTAGAGCTTTGAGGCTGACAGCTGAGGGGCCATTTCTGCAGAGCTTGCAAGGCCAAATGTCTCTGGCCATGTGTCCTGTGAGCAGCCCCAGGCAGCAGAGCAATGGGCTGTGGGAATGGCACCTGCTGAGCTCTGGTGTCCCATGCCAAGGCAGTTTGGCACAGCCCGGCTCCGTCGCTCCAAAAAGACTCGCTCCGTGTTTGCTGCGGCCTCCTGCCACAGACTCCTCCAGTTCCACGTCTGCCATGTCCCTTCAGGTGGCCATCAAGAAAATGAGTCTCAGAGGGCAGAACAGGGAACGAGCTGTGAATGAGATCCTGCTCCTGAAGGACAAGAAGAACCCCAACATTGTCAACTTTCTGGACAGGTGAGTGCTTCAGCTCTTATCCCGTGCCCGGGCCCTGCGTTAACCTTTCCTGGCATCCGTAGTCTGTAGCCTGTTTTGAAAATGCCTGACCCAGCCATGTCTTCCCAAAACAACAGCCTGGCAGTCCACTGGCTTTGCCTGTTTCTGAAGGGACTTGCTGAAAGGGTTTCTGACTGCTTTTGTCCCAAGTGCTGCACGGCCTCCTCCCCTGGATAACCCTGGCAGTTGTGTTGCCTTGTTCTGGAGGGAATGGTGGAACTGATGAGTTCAGAAGCTGAACCAGCTGGGGCCAAGTGTTGTGGTTCCACATTGATCTGGGCTGTTGCCAAACTGCATTTTTCACCTGCTTGCCATCTAAGGCCTCTCCTTTCTCACAGGTGTCTCCTTCTCCTTCAGACTGTGCAGATCCCAAGGGCTGGGCAGCCTGGCAGGAATGTCTCTCCATCTGATTCTGTCCTCACTGACAAGTGACCTGGAAACAAAACTCCACTCCAGGCTTTTCCATGGGGGAATGGAGCACTGCACATTCATCTCCATGCCATTGTTTTCCTCTCCCAGCTTCCTTGTTGATGGAGATGTCTGGCTGGTGATGGAATACATGGATGGAGGAACTTTGCAGGACGTTGTCAGACACACACGCATGGCTGAAGGAGAGATGGCAGCTGTCAGTCGGGAGGTGAGGGATCCTGCTTGTCACTCCCATGCCTTGGACACGATGGTCCTTCCAAACAGGTGTGAGAACAGGAGTGGCTCCATGCTCAGGGCTTTGTTTCTCTGTTGTTTTGATGAGCTGGAGAAGAAAGAGCCTCTGCAGTGAACGGCCTGCCAGCATCACTGCACTTCTGCTCTGTTCTTGCTCTCTCTCCTGCTGTTGTGGTACTCTCTGTTTTGGATTTGATTTGCTGTTCTCAGCTTTGCCTTGAACGGTTTGCCTGGAGCTTGTGTGCACTGCACTCCTGGCCTGTCCCAGCAAAGCTGCTGCTGGCAGAATTCTAAACTGTCCTTTCTTGTGTGATTTATTCCAGCCACTGGTTTTTGCCCTGGTGTTTCTTTTTCTCTCCCAGTGTCTGCAGGGCCTGGATTTCCTCCATTCCAAGCGGGTGATCCACAGGGATGTGAAGAGCTCCAACATCCTCCTGGGGATGGACGGCTCTGTCAGGCTGGGTGGGTGTTCCTGGCCAGGCACGGCGCTCCCGGGCTGCGGCTGTGGGGCTGCTTCCCAGTGACGGCCAGAGCCCCACAAGGGCTGCTGGGGGCACTGCCCGGCCCTGCTGCCAGCTGGGAGCGGCTGCCCGTGCACAGAGCTCAGCAGAGGAGCAGGGTGTCAGCAGTGCCTCTGCTCTGGCTATGGCCCTTCCAGAGGGGCAGCAGTGGGAATCTAAAGCTTCAAGGGAATCAGTAACAGCCACTGCACGAAAGCTGAGGCTTTCTGTAAGGGTCCGCTTCCATCTTTCCTTCGCTGGACTTTTCCAGCTGACTTCACTACTGCATTCTCAGGCTGAGGGTGGGGAGTCTTTGTGCTTGGTTTCCTCATTGCAGCTGCCTTTGACAGTGTTTGTTTCTGTCCTCAGCCGATTTTGGCCTCTGCGCTCAGCTCAGCCCTGAGCAGGACCAGCGCAGCTCCATGGTGGGCACTGCTCACTGGATGGCCCCAGAAGTTGTGACCAGATCTCCTTATGGCCCCAAGGTGGACATCTGGTCCTTCCACATCTGGTGGCATCGTGACCATCGAGATGGTGGA